GAATATTTGTTTGGAGGAGAACTAGTTTTTATTTGAAGTTCATACCCGTAACTTCAACTTTGTTCAGCAGTGGTTGTACAATGAATATCTGTATATTCAAAAAGGAATATTAATAAGAGACACTTTTTGGAGAAAAAGCCTTTTTGACTTTTTTTTCTGACTGATTCGGCCGTTACTTGATGAAAATCCATTATAATTTCAAAAACTACACATCACGATTTGATCTCTACAAACTTTATTTGAAAAATATATCACATGTTTCGCTGGCACAGTAGCTTTATCAATGGCATTAGGAGGGGCATTGAATAGCATTAATAACAAATACCAAGCGTCACATATCATAAAATTAGAATTTTTGAAAGAAGGTAGTTTTACGAATGAATTAGAACTTGTGAAATCAATACGCAGTAAAATTAACGAAAATCATGATATTGACTAGAGCAGATAAAGGAAACATTGTGGATGCTATTGACCGAATCGACTATGTCAACAAAACCCTTGATTTCTTGAATTTAGGAAAGTTTGAAATGTTGAGAGGTCGTCCAACTAATTCTTTCCAAAGACAAGTGGAAGATTTTTTGAAAAATTCAAACATACTTTCTACTGAAAGGAAAACGTTCAAATTAACATTGATGAACAATCTCGACGAATTTTTTGACTTCTCTTTTGATGAAATACAACCATAATACACTGAAAGTGTTAATAATTTTGTTGAAAGTTTCTCAGATACTGTAAATGTCATGTATACTGTTTGTCACTAAATTATATGCCGTTTACTTTTTCTATGTTTTACACTGAATCTACGTTCTATACATATACTTATACCTCTGTTACGACAACCTTAAATGTACTTTATACATACTTGGGCTAATAAATTATGATTATGAATTATGATTATGATTATGAACCCTTAAATTCCAAAATTATATTCACTTATAAAACTGCATAAACAGAGTTATCCAATTAGACCAGTGGTTTCCTTTGTCACTGCACCATTAGTGAAATTATCAGAAAGGCTAATCAGTATCATCTTGAACCATTGTAACTTCGAACCGAAAGAGAACATACCTCTACCAGGCAACGCAAAATTACTATACTTTGATGTGCAGAATCTATTTCCCAGCATACTTCCTGATGATACTATTACTTTAGTAATAGAATTATTAGATAAAAATAGGGTGAACCCAGTCATTAAACGAGAAATCATTGACCTTCTGTCGTTATGTCTTCAACAAAATTATTTCCAATTTAACAACAATATTTATTCCTCCCCAACAGGTTTAATTATGGGAAATCCATTAAGCCCCTTACTTGCGGAAATTTTCATGGATAATCTAGAGAAGATTATTTTCAGCCGCGTGGCAGATTCAACTAAGCGAAGTAAGTAAGGGCAATGAAAACGAAAGAATTTATCGATATACACGCACATGTACACATATATGCGCAGGCAGCTGGGCAATAGTCGTGCCGTAAGCTTATTATTCAGGTAAGCAATCAGCTATTTAACTATTACTGATAAACAAATTATAGACAAATAGATATATGATCAAGATCAAGAACTTGCGTGTCCTAGCGTCAATAGGTTTGGATTCCTGTCCTAGTAGAGTTGTCGTCTGAGTGGGAGTAGATCACCCTACTCGTCCTGATATCTGGGTGACTTCAGTCCACTGGGATCACCCTGTAGAAGGTAAAGGTTGCACCACCCTGTTGAAGGTGAAGGTTGCATCACCCTGTAGAAGGTAAAGGTTGCACCACCCTGTAGCCTAGGTCAGAAACCAACCAGTCTAGCACTCAAACTCCACCCTGTAAGGCTAAAAGGGGTTTTCTCTTCGAATACGACAGTACTAGAACGATTCAAATAGACGATATGTCCTGCGAGACGATATTCAGTCTTATTGCACCTGATGGGACTCTATGGAATCGGCCATGAACATCACCATGGATGAGATCGATGTGGTGTTAAGTTTTCCAGATCCTCCGTAGAGTTCAAGTTCTAATAAATAGATAAATAGCGAAACTACACACAAAAGCAACACCAATCTAACATGAACTTGTTGAATTAGGTTCGAAAATATATTCCCAGTAAAGGATAATTTTAAGAATCATAAAATTTCACGAACCAAGAACTCAACACACCTCACACAACCTTTCTTCCCCCACTTCTCCCCCGCTGGTCACTCTCTTCTTCCAGACTGTCAAAACCCAAATTTTTCGAGTTGCCCAGAGAGGTCACTAACATAATCATCAACCGAATCAGAATTGATTTCAATGCTTTCATTTAACTCAACTATTGCAAACACGACCTAATACTCCACTGATGTTAAATAACTTGCCAAATACACATTACCAGCTCAGGAAATAAATTATTTTACCAGAAATCATCAAGATACATCGCGTTCTGCTAAAATTTCTCTCGTTTCTGGAGAACTTTCTTTCAGTTTGTGTATGATCTACACATCCATGTATAGAGCTACTTATTTTCAAATTGATTCCTTCCTTCCTTTCTTAGGAAGATTTCCTCATCCCTTTTTTTGTATCAAAATGGAGTAGTAGAAAGCCAAAAACTTTCTTTCCCAAAAATTAATCACTCCCAAAAATATAACTCCTTCAATTCAAATGATTAGATATCTAAAACTTAAATTGATCGCTACAACCTAGCCACGAAATTTGAACATTTACCTTGTTTTTTGAACAGACCGCCTTCAGGTTATATTTCACTTTGAAAAAAATACTTTTCAAGAACTTCCATTTACATGAAAAGAGGAAACGTATATCATCCCTAACTACTTTTGCCGCTGCCATGTATATTTATACAGAAGTTATACAGAAGTCATNAATTTAAATAACTGCCATCTTTTGTGGAGCGATGGGAACTAAAATATCATCAGTTTCGGAACCTTCACTGGATGGAGCGGAATGCAAATTTTGCAAACCCGTCTTTTTTTAAAACAGGTTCTGCTAGTTGGCTTGTTCTTGGTCTTCGTTTTCTTTTCCATATTCTTATTCGTACCTGACTCCAAGAACTCAGCTGATAGTATACAATTAGGTTTCACTTCCACTTGGGCAACTTGTGGAAGTTTAGGCTCCTTCTGGCTTTGATTTCCACATAACACGTTTCTAGAACACTCTGGAATAAAAGGTGATATTTATTTTCCTTGAGCCGTCTTTCAACTTCAACGAGGAAAATTTTGAACTTCGTACTTTACTGGGCATTTCCAAGTCCAACACATCAACCTAGTTGCAAAATCTATGATGGATTCGTTTTTTTTCTGTCCTTGTACCAAAAAATTTTATTTTTTCAACATGAAAATATGTTATTGAAGTGAAATGTTCAAACAACAATGACTTCAATTCAGAAAAAGCGATACAACCAAGTTCATGACTATTTGTAAGTGCGATAATTCAATGATTTCAACGATATATGATCAAAAGATTCAAATGCCCGATGTATCCGTGTTCAATTTTGGGCAAAGTTATTGAATTTGAGGAAAATAAACTCAAAAACGTTTTGAATCACTGATATCCTCTGAACTATTCACAATCCCTAGTCCTAGTCGCTGAATGTACGTTAAGGAAAAAAAATCACATTTTCCATGTCTTCATTACAACTTTAATTCCAATTCCAGTACACAGCTAGACTCACTGATTTGGCTAGCTCCCAAAAACGAAACACTGAAAGAAACAGAACACACAAATGAATAGTGGCATATCCTAATAAATTGAAGAGAAGAGTCACAACCCATATTAGGTACAAAATGACAATCACAGCATTAAATAGCGTGTATTTCATTTGTCCGACTGAAAAAATGTCGTTATTATGTTGCGCATGGTTACCGCTAGATGGCACTGATATTTCTTTTTCATGGAGCCGTTTCGCTCCGAACACCGGCGTGAACAGTTGGTTTGTTCTGGTTCCACGGAATTCAGGTCCTAGGACGTCAGGATCATGCGCAGTTGATATAGAGCGTTCTGGTTTAATGAGGATAATTTCGGATTGATGAATCCTCTGTTCTGGTTTAGACTGCAAAATGATCCTAAACTGTCTCGAACCGTCCAGAATCGTTCTTGCTCTCGTGGCTGAACTGTTGAGAACTGTTCCCGTTGCTCATCCGCAACCATGTGGAAACTTGTTTGGGCTATTTTCTAGGATGTTTTCTTTATTTATTTTATTTGAATAATTGTTGATTGAGGTTAGATAACATTTGAAAAGACTAAAAGGATACGCTACATAACAAAATGGACATGATCAACAGTATTTTCCCCTTTTCATCTCTTCATATACGATAGGTGGCACAGTGGTCTCCTCAAAATGCGTTTTGGTTTAACCAAGTGTCCGAGACTATTTCGGACTGTTTGAGAATTTTTGTTTGTACGTATCATGTCTTGCGCAGTTTCCAAACAGTTTCGGATTTTAGAACCAGAACAAACCTTGTAGTGTCACAACATAGATAACAGTGTCACATTTGTGTTAATACAGAGTAGACGTGTACTGTGTCGCCAGAAAAGTGTTTCAACGTGTGATGTGACTTTATATCGGTAAGTTTTACGTTATAATATTGGATTTTTTTTTTTTTTTATTTCAAATTTACCCGCATCAACCATATAGGTTATTAGCGGGGTTCGATACATTTTATATGTCACACAATATATTTATACACTTCAGGAAAGTAACAAGTCTATCAATGTTCTGTGGGGTGAGGATTCCTCGTAGGTCACCGGGTAAGCCACTAGCACGTCTTTGTCGTTGGTAAGATGGGCAATCCAGAAGAATGTGGTTTACATCAAGGTTTGTTTGGCAGGTTTCACATTTTCTGGCCACATCTCGTTGAAGGAGGTGTTGATGTGTTAGCTTGGTATGACCAGTGCGGAGCCTGGTGAGAATCACTTGGTACCTTCTACACATCCCCATGTATTGGACAGGATTCAGATTCGGGTTTATTTGCAAAAGCTTGTTGTTTTGATTTTTATGCCATCTGTCATGCCAAATATTCCGTATATACGTTTTAATAACGGGCTTCATGTCTGTATATGGTATTTTTGATATAATTTTGGCAGATGGGTCTACACTGGCCTCTTTTGCAGCCACGTCGGCCTTTTCATTACCAGGAATGCCTATACGGGATGGGATCCACACCAGCTCGATATTTTTTCCTTGAAGTCTCATCTCATATAATTGTGTCTTGATGTTCTTCAGTATGGGATGTTTTGGGTAGGGCTGTTTAATGCTCTGTAAGGAGCTCAGGGAGTCAGTGAATATTACCGAATCTTTAGCGTTGAGGTTTGTAGAGAGTTTAATCGCTTCCGCTATGGCATGCAGTTCTCCCGTATAAACTGAGCATTCTGGAGGCATACTGAACTTATAAATGTTGGTCCCTGATATAACTGATGCACCAAATCGTTCATCTTCATACGTCTTAGATGCAACAGTGTAGAGAATGTTGAACCCACTGTACTTAGTTTCTATCTCGAAAAATTTTTGAAGGAGTTTGTGGTTGGAGGTAGTGGACTTAAGAAACGTTGTGAGGAAAGTATTACAGGGAGGAATTTCCGCAAGCCAGGGTGGTGGGCTTTCTTCTTGAGCTGATAGGGTGTTAGAGAAAGTGAACCCATTTTTTTTGACTCGTACATTGAATGGATCTCTAATACTTTTATTATGTTGGGGATTTCTACCAGAAGCTTCCGAAAATGTATGTTCATAAGTTGGATGTTTATTATGTGCAGATATTTTGGATGCATATGTTAGGCTGAGGTATTGACGTCTCAAATCCAGGGGTGGTTCGTTGGCTTCGACATATAGAGTTCCTTAAGATATGGACGCTAAATTGGGAAATTTCCCATGAAATAGGCGAGGCGAGCTACTTCCTGTTATGTTCGGGTTTTATCTCCGTAAATAATAATTTGTAAAAAAAAACTATTATTTTAGGTGTGTCCAGTAGCCCTATATTATGGATGTGTTTCCTTAGTTGACGGTGGCCAGTCAGAAATCCTACTGTTAGGCGTAGATTGTTCCTGGTCATCGCCTAATATTTCTTCGTCGCCAGCTTCCCAGGGTCGCCTAAGGGGATCCTGGCAAGATTGCATCCTTTGATTCCATCCCATCTCTCTGAGGATTGAGCATGGGTGTAACATTTGGCTAGTTCCGCAATTGTCGAAGTCATCAGGCCGTAGGTGCCACTGGGTCCTAAAATTCTTAGTCCAGCCGCTTCCTTGGCTAAAGAGTCGGCAATGCGATTACCTTTACTCCTGTCGTGCCCTTTAACCCACCTCAGGATAATGTTATTATCTACCGAGGCTTTGGCTAAATCTTGGTGACACTCTAGTACCAGCCCTGAAGTTATACGTTGTCTGTTCAAGGCTAATACAGCTTGTCTGCTGTCACTGCAGATTGTTATGTTTTTGCCAGANTTAAAATTATCAGACATATTATTTTAATTATATCATCAATCTTCTTGTATGAATATGTGAATCAGTTTCTATGCATGTCACTATGATAGTAAACATTTTTCATATCAACGTGTTGGTGTATCTGAAGCCTTGGCAAGCCTAAGACCCAGGTTTTGAGTTTGTTCTTAAATGAATTATCACTCCTGATATTTTTTATATGATGTGGGACGAGATTATATAACCGAGGAGCTAGGTATGAGTAAGACCTTTGAAGGATGTTTTTCCTTGAATTCGGGACATATGCATTATTTTTTTGTCGAGTTTCATATTGGTGTTCTATTATCCTTAATTCATGTCTATTATTATGTTGTCTTATTATAGTTTTGAGAAAGTAGAGTTGTCTTATGTCTAGAATTGATGTTTCTTTATATAATGAGTCGGTCGGGTAAGTTCTTTTTTTGAGGTGGATAATTTTCAATACTGATTTTTGTGTTTGTTCTAGGTGTTTCAGAAAAGTTGTGTTTGCTGCTCCCCAAGCAATTATTCCGTATGTAAGGTGGGTTTCGAACAATGCATAGTATAGCATTCGCATCTGGGCTGTTTGTAGGTATGGTATAATCCAATAAAAACTTTCAAATCTGTTATATCACAGTTATGGCACAGAATTTTTGTTTTCGAAACGTAAAATAACAAACAGTTCTTTTTTGCAAATTTAAATATGTCAAAGTTCTGAATATAGTAATTTGTTTAAATTGAAAGAGGCATATTTTTAGTTGAGATTAGTAGAAAACCAAAACCTTCGCTTCATAAAAAGTAGAGAAGTAGTTTTTATTTCGTTATTAGTTACTGAATGATATGATGTTCTTAATTCAATCTAGCATTAGGGATACGCTGATGTAAAAAATTTTCTTCTTTCTCACTTCATTTGCATCCTCAGTTTATCTGATAATTCACTGAGTAATTGCATTAGTGAAGCAATTAAACCATTACATAATCCCCGTTTAGGAAACTATGCGATTTGGAGCATATGTTCAGCACGTTAACGAGATTTAGGGAAGTAGATTAAACCAGTCTCCGCTCTTTGTTATTTACACAGAAATCTAAAGTGACTATGTGTGCGGTATTTTGTTTACATCGTCGGCAATAAATTGCACTCCGTACCCGACCTCATGACATTTTCTTATCTAAATCGATTCATTCATCTCCTTAAGAAGTGAGATCCCAATCATCGAAAAATATTGAAATAATTCAACATTCTCCATTTCTAAGAACGAGTTTACGATTGTATTTCGCGTGAAGTAAATCAAACACACGACAGTGTGATAAATCTACACGAAGTAGACCAGGAGACAGCTCCTAGCAAAGCATCTATTATAATCATAATGACATCTGCTAATTAACGAGAATTGCGCCATGCATTTGCTGGGTCCTACATGCTGTTGAGACCGAAATTGCCTTTTTAATATTTGTGAAAGTGTATTAATACAGGGTGGACTACCGAAAAGGAAACAATCTGAAAAATAAATAAAGCTAAATCACTAGAGAATCTGTTGAAGTGTAATGAAATGCAAAATGAACAGTTCATCCCGAAAAGTTATTGCGTAATATAAATCACTGAAGAGTCCAATTAGTCAGAAACTTTAATGAAATGAACAAAAACACTTTTGTCTACATGGTAGATCATAAACTACTCCTTGATAAACTGGAGTATCTGGGAATTAGAGGAAAAGGCAACGACTGGCTGCGCTCCTATCTTGACGGAAGAAGGCAAGCTGTAGTACTGAATAATAATGTATCTGATAAACAATTTGTCACACAGGGGGTACCACAGGGTTCAGTACTTGGCCCACTGTTGTTCATAGTGTTTATGAATGACCTGACTCACTCAGTCAGACAAGCAGATTTAGAAATTGTATATGCAGACGACACAAACTTCTGCTTGAGGAACTCAACAGCTCAAGAGTGTTCTGCCAGNAGAGTAGACATAAAAAGTAACAACTTAGGAGCTCCTTAATAAATAAAGATGAAAAATATGAGTAAGTCAGTTAAAAGCTATCGTTAAAATATTCATCCAAAGTATACTAGGTTATATCAGATAGAAATTGTTTGACTAACTTTCTGAATTGGAAGTCATTTATATTGGCAGATCTTATGTCCATAGGCAAATGGTTGTACATTTTTCCACCGTTGTAAAATATGGAGTCTCTGGTGATGTTTTTAGTTGGCACAATGAGTTTCAGAGTGAGTCTGCTGTTTCGGATGTTATAACGGGCAGAGGATGCAGCAAAATTCAATATATGCTTATTTATTAAACACACAGATTCCAGTATAAATAATGCAGTTACCGTTAGAATATCATGTTTTTCGAAGAAAGTTCTACAGGAGTCTCTTGGTTTAAGGTTTCCTATATACTTTATTGCCCTTTTCTGTAAAACACTCCTAGACATTTAGGGCTATTTTTAGAATCCAGTGATCTGCCTTCAAAAAAAGTTCGTTGATTGAGCACCTAAATGATGTGTTATTCTTCGGTTTCGGTAAAACTTATTTGGTAATACCCAAACTAAGTACCTATTATTACTGAGGAAACGAGTGTTTTCACTGAACATTCTAAAGCCAAGCTTTAGAATTATTTTTAATTTAATGAATACCGTGATTGCAAAAAAAAACAAAAAATCAAATTAGTTTTCACCATCTATAGAATTTCCAATGACGCTCTCTCAATACCCAATCCATCATAGTTAGCCTTCACACTCCTCTGAAACACGGCAACAGCGTCATACGAAAGCATCGTTGGCAGAGCCTGCTTTATGCACTGTGCATGTTGGCGTTTCCCTCCGCGTCCCCCTGCCGGTAAACACATCAATTATTATATCGGATGCATTTTGAATAGCTAACGGTAGAATGTCTCTACTCTTCGGTGTGTCTCTCTCTCTCATTTCACCGGGAGGGCTAGTCCAGACGAAGATTTAGCTTTGTTGAATATTAGTCCAGTCAAAATAATCGCGAAAGTGGTTAGCTGAAGATAATTGGCATGATGATGAAAATTGGTACGTTAACGATTATAGTAAAATATGTCAAATTCACTCACGAATCGCAATTTCTGAAAAGTCGCCATTTTTAACATTGGCCCATATAGAGAAGATCTGTCCAAAATCATATAGCTAAGCGTTAATCTATACATCTCTGTGATAATACACAATAGAATGGTCAAATCAACATATTTATTGACCAGTCTCATCAGGTACATAATTGTAAGAATAAACATCGAAATATGTAACTTATCTATGAAATAAACATATCAAAACAAAAAATTGTTTTTCCTGATTGATTCGGTCGTTACTTGATGAAGATCCATAGTAATTTCATAAACTACCTACACCTTACTATTTGTGGAGGTTAAATCGAAAGGTGTAGTTTATGAAAAAACAAAATAGGCTATTTGACTAATTTTTGGAAATCATCATAAATTAATCTTTACTACGTAAGAAATTTTCTCCATTAATATTTAGGAGATTTAAAATGTATTTTTCAGTAATAATGCTTTTTAAAATTCAAATGTCTAAACCTGCGCCAAAAACGCTGTTTCTGTAATGGCTGTCGTCACGTGACATTGTGACGTTTCTAGCAAATAAACCTTTATCAAAAACAACTAATACATGTCGTCTAGGTCCATATGGTTCAATTTGGGCCATAAGAAATTAGTTATCATCGTTCTGTAGCGCTCGCTGTTGACGGTGACCGCCTCACTAACATCGTTTTCAAAAAAGAACGGACCAATAACGCCGCCGGCCCCAAAATCCACACCAAACAGTAACTTTTTGAGGATGCATTATCACCTGGTGAACCTCGCATGGGTTGGTGTCGGCCCATATACGGCAATTTTGCTTGTTAACACAGCCATTCATCTAAAAATGCGCCTCGTCACTAAAGATGATTTTTTGCCCAAAATTGGAGTCCTCTTCCAAA